CCTCTTTGTACTACATCTAAGCGCTCCCTCTTCTTTGCTTCCAAATATGCCTTCCTTTGGAATAATCTTCCGCCTGAAATTAGATTATCGCCTAAGTTACTGGTATTCAAGTCGAAATTACGCAAACATCTTACACCGGAAAACATAAAGGCACTGTTAACGGTCTCATTCCCGAACACTCAGATTCTTGACTTCGAGGAGGGTCCTCCTGGGATTTAGTGGTAGATTAAGTGGTAACTCTTAATTATATCATTAGAAACCCCTATTTTGAATTGGTTTCTAAATCCACTGCTATCACTCTCCCCCCCCCCATAGCGACAATTTTCGCGGTTTTTGATGTCATCTCCCGCATTCCGACCTCATGCGGTCTGTTGACGCTCAGGGCGGAACCCTCAGTATTCGCCGTCTACTAGTAGTTTGGTCGTTCCTCCCTTCCCCTGATCGGCTGAGCTCGAAGCGTGCTGTGGCCGATCGCATCTGGGTTCCTCTCGTCTGGCCTCTTTGACACGGCGTACTAATCCGGCCCAGACGATCTCAATTGTGAATCCCGTATACAATGCCATTTGCAAGCCAGTCCTGTCTGACCCACATTCGTACCCATCAAGGCGGACATTTATTGATACCCTGACGATGACCGAAAACATTCCGTTATATACCGCCACCTACAGGCCAGTCCTGTTCGCATTTTTCTGTTATTATTTTTGAAGAGGGGTTTTTTTCTCCTGTAAAATTAATCCAATCATTTTTAACTTTTTATAAGGAGTTTTTTTCACCCCTCAATCATCATGTTTCTCAATAGACTTCTAATTCAGAAACTAGGAATTGCATTTTGTAAAGATTCGGCCTACCTCGTCTAAAACTCGCATGCAAATTTATTTTAACTTGCTTTGATGGGACCCCGACGGGTCTTTAATAAAAATTATCTATCTATCTATCTGTCTATCTAAAGTGCGCTGAGTCGTCGACCTCACTCTCCCTTCCCACTCCCACACCCCAGCCGCTGTCCGAGCCGGTCAGCAGACTGGAGTGGGGAATGGGCGCGGTGGCTGTCATCGTCGACTGACCATGACTGCGCGCGCCACGGCACGACCTGGCCCCCCATACACACACAAACACCAGGATTTCACACAACGGGGGTTGAACGGCGTGTCACTCACTTGCGTGAGAGTGCCGTGGAAGGTGCTGTTTCAGCCCGTTCCCAGCCCACCAGTCCACCACTCCACACAACACACACACACACACACACACACAACGCGACGAACTGCGTGAACCGAGAACGGGCGTCAATCAGCAACCTTCCTATCCACGACGCTTGAAGTGTCGGGATAGTCTCGGACTCAATTCACCCGTGCAGCCGAAGCCGCATGGGGACCGAGTCGAGATGTGGACTTCCCACTTGCGTGGGAGGTGGCAGTTGGGTGCATGAGGTGTGTGAGTGTTGATTTCTGGTGGGGTGATGGTGGTGGTGGAGGAGGTAGGGAGTGAGTGAATGTGTGGTGTGGCCGGCATGCGCATGTGGCCGAATAGGCCCATGCGATGCCTGAAAGTGCGAGGACAGTGTGGGCACTTGAGACGAGCTTGGTGGGTATAGGTGGGTGCTCCAGGCACTGGTTCGCCAGTCTCTGTGCGATGGATTCGCAAGTGACCGGCCAGGCCGATGCGTGAGGTGAATGTGCGTGGACAGTGTGGGCATTAGAAGTCGGAGGTGTCAGTGTCAGCTACAGAGGAGGCGGTGGTGGTGGTGGCGCGGATGGATGCAACGAGGGTGGGGGTGTGCACGATGGATGTGGTGGGTGTGTTGGGAGTGCGGTCAAGGCCGCTCTCGTGGATGCGCATGTGGCCGAATAGACCCATGCGATGCCTTAAGGTGCGAGGGCAGTGTGGACAGTGGAGGCGAGTGCGGTGGGTGTAGGTTGGTGCTTTACGCACTGGTTCGCCAGGCTCTGTGCGATGGATTCGCAAGTGACCGACCAGGCCGATGTGTGAGGTGAAGGTACGGTCGCAGTGAGGGCAAGTGTAGTCCTGATCCTCATCACTGGAGTCGGGGGAGGTGATGGTAGTGTCGGTTGCTGTGCGCGGGACAGTCGCCTGAGCGGCCGCCGTTGGAGCAGTGGGCGAGGAGGAGGAGGAGGAGGAGGAGAAGGATGATGGAAGTGGTGGGTCAGAAGAATTGTCAGGGTTAGTTGGCGGCGGAGAGGAGGAGGAAGAGGCAGGCGGGGGAACGATGGTTGGTGCCGTTCGAGAGGCGCAGTTAATCCGAAGATGTCCAACAAGTCCGATTCGAGCCCGGAATGTCCGTTGAAATCGAGGACACGATGGAAGCGGTTGTGCGGCGGCGTTGCTTACCGGGCGAAGTTGTGATTTGCGGGCTTCACGTTTCGCTTTGGCGGCAGCGATGCGGTTGGCTTCGTAGATCGCAGCGCCTGTCTTCACTGTCTTCCTCCAGGTCGGTCGATCGAGTGCGAGCTCCTCCCAGTTGGTGGGGTTGATTTGCAGGCATTTCAGGGAGGACTTCAGAGTATCCTTGTAACGGCGGATCTGGCCTCCTTGAACGCGAGAACCCGTCGCGACGTCTCCGCAGAAGAGTCGTTTGAGTAGTCGCTCGTCGTCCATGCGCACCAGGTGGCCGCTCCAGCGCAACTGCATTTGTCTCGGCATGGAGTAGATGCTGAGGATTCCCGTCCGTTCCAGCGCATCAGTGTCGGGGATTCGATCCTGCCACTTTAGCCTCAGGATGCGACGAAGACAACTGAGGTGGAAGTGGTTCAGACGACGTGCCTGCTTTGCGTACACCGTCCAAGTCTCCGCTCCATACAGTAGTGTCGGCAGGATGACGGCCTTGTACATCTTCAGCTTCGTGCTCAGCTGAAGACCGTGGCGATTCCAAACTGTGCTTTGGAGGCGACCGAAGGCTTGACTGGCTTTCGAGATGCTGTTGGCGACTTCGTCGTCGATCTTGGTATTGCGGGAGAGAGTACTGCCCAGGTACGGGAAGTTCTCCACCACCTGCAGTTGGGTCCCATTCACGCTGATTTGCGGCGACGCGTTGGGGGCTGTGGCTGAGTTGGGTGGCGGTTGGTGCATCACCACCGTCTTCTGCGTGTTAATGACCAGACCGAAGTTCTCGCAGGCGGCGTAGAACAGGTCCATGCTCCGTTGCATCTCCTCTTCCGAGGTGGTGTTCAGGGCGCAGTCGTCGGCGAAGAGGAGTTCGTGAACGGTGGTTGTGGATACGCGCGATTGGAAGTGCATACGCCGTTGATTCAGCTGGTGACCGTCGTCCTGTAGGCGATGCGGATCCCGGGGCGTTCGTCGCGGTAGGCGTCCATCAGCATGGCAGAGAACATAAGACTGAAGAGGGTAGGCGCCAGCACGCAGCCCTGCTTCACTCGATTGGTCACTGCGAATGCCTCTGAGACAGCTCCGTTGTCCGTGACTCACGCCATCATACCGTCGTGCAGCTGACGCACCATCTGAGTGAATCGCTCCGGACAGCCGAATTTCTGCATGATCTTCCACAGTCCTTCACGATTCACCGTGTAGAAGACTTTCGTCAGGTCCACGAAGGTAGAGTACAGGTGGGTCCGCATCTCCTGACACTTCTCCTGAAGTTGACGGGCGGCGAAGATCATATCCGTGGTCCCACGATGACGACGGAAGCCGCATTGGCTTTCCGGCAGAAGGCCCTGTTCCAGATGGTTATTGAGGCGTTATTGCGTTATACACCGCCACATGCAGGCCAGTCCTGCCCGCATTTTTTGATATCATGAGCGACAGTCTTTTTTCTCCTGTAACATTAATCCTGTCATTCTTAAATGCTTAAGTGGAGTTTTTTTAACTTTTCCTAACGGAATACTAATTTAGAAACTATGAATTTCATTTTGTACAGATTCTGCCTACTTCGTCTAAAATTCGTATTTAAATTTATTCTTACTTGCTTTGATGGGACCCCGACGGGTCTTTAATAAAAATGATTTATGTATTTGTTTAAAGAGGTAGAAACGGAATTCAGAGGCTAACGGACGTGTGGTCTCTTGTTCCTTTGAGTGCAAATACAGAACGGATCAATTTTATCCACGATGGTAGCCTCCAAATACACCTCCCCAGAAATTCCGCTCTGAATCCGTGGGATCTGTGTAAACTGTTTGGATCTTTTCATATTGAAATCATATGTCTATCTGTTACAATAAACGCTTATGTTCCCACCTTTAATTGGATTATTTGACTGTTGGATATTTGCGATGGTTGGCGAGAATCCCAGCAAAGTCGCACTGCACAGAGACGAACATAAGGCAAAGGACAACAACGGAACTTTTATCACGGGTCCCAAATCGGAAGCATCAGCATTGCCAAAGAATTCTTTGTGCATTAAAATTGCCAAAAATGGGTTTTTGCCTTGTTATAGTGGCCGGGTGCCTAAACATGTACTTTTCCTTATATTTACTACTTAAGAAAACTCCTAAATGGCATCCCCGGGTCGCTCAGTGATTGGAAGTATCGCCCAAACAAAATTTGGCCGAGTCAGACGAGATTCCACGCCAAGGCCAGTCGAGGTTCCACCCAGGCTTCTCAAGGAACTTGCCAGTGAGCTTTCTGTGCCTTTGTCGATGCTCTTTCAAACGTCATTCGACACTGGAACACTTCGTATCGGTTGAAGGCTGGCACATATAACTCAGCTATACAAAGGAGGTAGCAGGGCAGAGACGACAAATTACAGGCCCATAAGCTTGACATACATTCTCTGAAAAGTTATAGAAAGGACCATAAAGAGTGAACTGATGCAACTCCTCGAGGTTTACGGCCTGCTATCGAAATGCCAACATGGGTTCCGGAAAGGAAGATCCTGCACGAAAAACATGCTGCAATCCCTCTAGAGCTGGACCCTAGCTCTCGACGACAGGCACGCGGTCCACATAGCCTTCATCGACTTCCAGAAGGCGTTCGACACTGTGCCACACCAAAGGCTCTTACATAAGCTGAAAAAATAGGGATCGGTGGCAACTTCCTTAAATGGATCGAAAACTTCCTTGTGGGTCGACACCAGGTTGTGTGTATCGGTCGAGGGAAATCAGATCCTGTTGCCGTCGAGAGTGGTGTTCACCAGGGTTCAGTACTGGGACCCATTTTGTTTCTTATATATGTGGACGATGCCGCAAGAACTTTAGACGACGAAGTAGCAATGTTTGCCAATGACAGAAAGATATGGAATGTAATTCGGGGTCCTGCCGACGAAGAAGGACTGCAGATGAACCTAAATCCGTTGGAAGAATGGTGAACCGTTGGCTCCTGCAGTTCAACGTTGGTAAATGTGGCACACTTAGCCTAGGCAACACAGCCAGATACGCTATCACAAGAGACTACGTTCTGGGCGGTGCAGCCCTACGAGAGATCGAAGCCCAAAAGGACCTCAATGTGCGGACGACGAGTTCTCCAAAACCATCCACTCATTGTTCGAGAGTGGTAAATGCGCAATCTCCGTACTGTACGCCACCAAACGTGCGCTTATGAATTTTGACGAAGGTGCTTTCTCAAAGACATTCGGAATATTTGTCCGGCCGCATTTGGAGTACAGCATACAAGCCTGGAGACCGTGGGCGGTTGAGGATAAAAACTGCTTCGAAAGAGCTCGGAGGAGAGCGACGAAGAGGGTTAGGAGTCAAACTTCCTTTCGTTATGCGACCGTCCTAGTAAATGTGAACCGCTTCCTTTTGAGTTACAGGCATCTTTGCAGGGATTTTTTGCAAGCATTCTGTATTATGAAGGGGTTCGACTGAAGTCGGCCTTCGAGGGATTTTTTGAATTTCCTACCACGATCAACCTCCGTGGTCACCCGTTTAAACCGCGCACTCAGCAGGCAAGGCCGAATGTGCGGAAGTTCTACTTTTCTGTTCGAATGGTCAAATCATTCAATGCTCATCCCGCATATGATGTGATACCACCACCTATACAAAGTTTTAAAAAGAACCTTGACGTAAATGACGAAATGACGAAGCGCGATGAGGGGTCGAGCTCACCCCCTGTAACTCGTTCTCATTTTGTCCTACCGTTATGGACTCCTTTGAACTATTTAAGCACAGAACATTTTCCTGTATACCACACATTTTTACGTTGCAAATAGGACACTCAATGGCTTAGGCCTATTTCCTCAATAAACTGAACTTCAACTCAACGAGAGTTGTAAGCGACATCGTAGGTCACGTAAAGGTGTTCGACCAATTGCCTGACAGTCATCGGAGTCATTCCGCAGATAGTGCCAGTTACTCTATGGTGTTCTAGACAGACAGATGGCAGCAAGGCCGAGCATATACTTTATTAGAACTAACAATTAGTCCTTGGTTTTATTATATTTTTTACTCCCGGCTGAATCCCGTATTCTTTGATATCTATTGCGGACTTGCATACAACCTATTTCTGGATGAGCCTGGTTTAATGCCCATAACTGCCCTATTAGCAAACCCATAGCGAGACGTCATCGTTTCGCTGTGAAAAGTCGCAGTAGTAGGACCGATTTATAGTGAATTTTGTCCATTTTGTCGCTATGGGAACAACGGCGAACAGTCGCGATACGGATCTATGCAACTGCGGGACGCCTTTAAAGGAATTCCTTTGCGACGTTTCCCTTTTAGCACATACGAATGCTCTTTTCCGCATCCCCCACCGGATCCATCACTATACGTACTACGTTACCCCAAGAAAGTTATATGAAGACGTTATTACGTAGAAAAAATAGGGATTTATTATGAACGTATGGATTACAAAAATTACCATCATCACTCCTCACGCGGCCGGAACGACGACGGTTCTGCTGACGGTTCTCTGCCTAAATATACAAGCTGCAGTGAATGTAGAGGAAAATTAGACACCAAGCCCAACTTATAGCGGATAAATGGCGACGGCAATAATATATCCTGATTACTTTTCTGTCCTGTTAAGTCATCATCCTTCCCCTCCTCTCCTTCCTCAAGGTAACCGACTTTGCCTACGTATGTTCCGACGGTTGTACAACGCTCTCAGCCGTCATATACATTGACGTTCTTAATCTGTTTTGTAGTAGACAGACCGTCCTGAGGTTCCAACTGAGGGAATAGTTCATGGTTAATGTCAGCTCGTTTGACGGAGCAGGATCGTAAAACAGGACCGGATTTCTCTGCTCAGTTCCTCGGAGGTGCTGGATTGCCGGATTTTTGCGACATCAAGGCGTCTAGGACGTGGCATTTTTGTCGCGGATGAGAGAAACTTTCTAGCCTGTACGGACGGGAACATGGTCCGACCAATGGGCGTTACCAGTCTCGGCACCACGCATCGATCTGCCATCGTGAACCCGGCTGCGGAATCTTGAGCTGACTAGTATGTTGCCAATCTTACTGACCGTATGACCGTCGTTTAAATACCAGGTCAGCAGATGTTTTTTGCGATGCTGAAAACATGTGTTGGTGGCAAGCAGTTGGCTCTGATCAGCAAGGTTCAGCGATTTATCGCCATTTTCACATCGGGAACCCAGCTCAAAGCGGCCAAGAAGATGACTGTTTGTGGAGTCGCCAGGTTCATTTCAACCATTCCAATCCTCGGCGACAATCAGCAGATCGCGGTAAGGGAGCTGTTCAACTAACGCTTGCAACTGCGAGTAAAACGCCTCTTTATTGCGGTGTTCGGCAGCCGAAGTTGGTGCGTACAACGAGACGATAGAGATGTTCGTGAAGTGACCCTTCAGTCGCACGTAGGCCATTCGGTCGTTCACTGGTTCGTAAGCAAGTAGTGCGGGGTCCGCTTGTTGCGATAGGGCAACCGCCACAGCGTGTCGACCAGAAGAGTCGCTAGAGCCGCTGTGGTACAGAGTAAAGTGTGATTCGACTCCGGGGATCTTTATTTCGCGGGAGCCTGAGTCAGGAAGTCGAACTTCAGACAGAAAACAGACATCCACGTTGTACGGATCAAGGCTGCGCGTGGTCAGACTTTGGGTACCGGGGTCCAGGAACGTTCGTACATTCCAGCATTCAATACCGAGAGTCCGTCCCCAATTGAGTAGTTCAGCTCGCATATTATTCGCCCGCACCACTGGACCAGGGTTGCGGAGCGCGTCAGTTCCTGCGGACGCCGTAGCATGGGTCGTAATACTGTGATCGGACATATTCCATGAGGTTGCCTGGGAATTTCGGATACAGGTGGGTCCCCAATAGCCGCTTGAATTGTTTGTTTGAGGTTATTTCCTCTAGCGCTTTGGCTTAAAAGCCTAACCAAAAGGCAGCGGTGGCAAGCAAACTTAATTAATGGCGGTTTACGGTCGCCATGTCACAATGCCGTCATCGGGCTTTGCGACTTCATTTATAAGACTTTCAGTGTGCCAGCCCGCAGCCCACCGCACCCTGGTAGCACTGTCGCTGCTGGTCCGCGACTGCTTATTCGTCAGACCTTGGTCTGCTTATTTCTCAGCTAACCTTCACTGAGGGCCGTTCCACTATCCGCCACCTGTGGACGCGCCGGGTAGCCAGCAGATAGGCTAACAGGCAACACGTCTTCCAGGCTCTTGGGTTTAGCGAATAAGCAGTCGTGAACCAGCAGCGAAGATGCTGTCAGGGCGCGGCGGGCGGAAATCGGACACACTGATCGCTTCAGAAAACGCAACAAAGCCCGATGACGACACTGACATGGAGACCATGAAGCCCCATTAAATAAGTTTGCTTGTCACTGCTGCCTTGCAGTTAGGTCCTTGAGTCAGAGCGCTAAGGGGGACAACCTCGAAATAACAATTTGAGTGACAGCTGGGGCACTCAAAATCTCCAAAAAAACCTCATTAAAGTATCCGATTACATTATTACGGTCCACGCTACGGCGGCTGTATGAACCAACGCGCTCCGCAACTCTGATCCAGTTCTCCGAGCGAATAGTTTGCGATCTGAAATACCCAATCTGGAACGGGCTCTTGGTATTGGATGCTGCAATGTGTGAACGGCTCTGGAGCATGGAACCCAAAGGCGGACGGCCCGCAGTCCTCATCAGTACTACGCGGATGTGTGCTGCCCGTCTGAAGTTTGGATCTCTGCCTCAGATGCTAGGGAAATAAAGATGCCGGGAGTAAACTCCCACTTCGCCATGGACCACAGCAGCCAACGCGACTCTTCGGGTAGACACTGTGTGACGATCGCCCTCTCGGAAGAAACAAACCATGCACTACTTGGGTGGGAACCAGTGAATGACCTGATAGATTATGTGTCACCGGGGGCCACTTTACGGACAGCTCTGTCATTTCTGTGTACTCACCGATATCAGCCGCCAAACAGCGCAGACCAACTCGCAGCTGCAGGGGTTAGTTGAGAGACTCTCCTGTCGTGATCTGTTGCTTGTTGCTGGAGACTGGAATAGGCGGACTGGGCCTGCCGTCTTTTCAGGCAGTCACCTTACTGACCGTTTTGGGTTTGACTCTCGAATCGTCAATGGTAAGAGAAGGTTAATTTTTGCTTACGAGAACCGAATAATTGTCACCGATACGTGCCTATAACATCGCCACAAACACATGCTGATTTGATATTCAAATGGCGGCCATACGACCAGTCAGATCTACTACATTCTGATTGATTCAAAGTTCAGTGACTGGGTTCACGATAGCAGATCGATGTATGCTGCCGAAGCTGGTAGTGCCCATGATCTGACCATGTTCTTGTTGACAAACGTATAAAAGTTCACTTCTCATTTGCGCTTAAAATGCCACGTGCGAGACGCCTTGATGTCGCAAAACTTGGACAACCTAACGCTGCCGAGGTCCTAAGCACAGAAATCCGGTCCGGTTTTACGACCCGATCCGACAGAGGAGGCAGTGTCTAATGGTCATAATTGAAGTCATCCGTCTATGGGGCAGCTGAGAAGATTCATGGACTCACTCAGCGGCGTCGTAGTGACCGAGTCAGCGGAAGAACCTTGCAGTTGTCTGCCCAGACAGCCCAAATGAGGTCGCACAATGATGCCTCCTTCCTCCAACTCCGGAAAATAACTGCCAAGTCGGCTAGGGATGACCGGCAGGAATATTGGGGTCAAACAGCGATCTCCATGGAGTAGGCCTCGAATGTTAGTGGCACTCGAAAACTCTACCAAATGATCCGCCAAGTTGATGGTAAGCCATCGGCACTGAATAACTCTACTATGTGAATGGCGGCTTTATTACTGACAACGCGACCAAGGTCGAAAGCTGGTGTGAGCACTTCAAGTACCTCGACTTTGATGAGCGACTCATCATACCCTCATTCTCCTCTGCAGCAGAGTTTTACCCCTCTCCGGCCTATGTAGTGTCGTGCGACCCCACTTCCGAGGGAGAACTACAGAGGCTGCTCGAAGAGGACAGTATTTCGACTGAAATCTACAAGTCTGGTGTCGAAATTCTGGCGCCCTGGCTCCATGAAATGATTGAGCGAGCGCGGAGGGATGAGGTCGTTCCTGATTATGGGAGCTCGGGCACCCTTGTAACTGTCTTCCCGAAGGGAGATAAGGCAAAGGGCTAAAACTGCCGCGGCATAAAGTCTATTGACGTTGATGCGAGGGCCCTTTCCGTTCTCAGATGATTCCAGTCTGTGCGTGGCTCCAGGACGAGGCCAAAACCAAGTCGGATTTCGAGCTGGTCGTGGATGTGCTGAGCAGATATTCGCACTGAGGTGCGTTCTTGAATTCTGCCATAGATGGCAATAACTGACGGTTGTCTGCTTTGTTGACTTCGCCGCCGCGTCGGATTACGTCCATTTGGAGTCCCCGTGACGAGTAATGGAACTATATGGTATGCCGGCCGAAATCATCGTCATGACAAAGGCCTACTGCCCCTCAACCATTGCACGAGTTCTGATCCATAAGTCTCAGCCGCTCGATATTCTGTCTGGCGTTCGACAAGGCTGCATTCTTTTGCTAATTTTCTCCAACCAAGCCATTGACTGGATTCTCGGGGGAAATTTAGACAGTTTTGACGGTGTTGGTTTCGTACCCGGACTCCTGATCACTGATCTAAACTACGCTGACGATGTCGCCCTGCAAGCTTTAGACCCTCGTGATCTGTAGTCTGTGGTGTCATGGGTGAATGAAGTCGCCACTTAAGTTGGTTTATCCACAAACGTTGAGAATACAAATTTGTTTTCGATCTGCTTTCCTGATCAGGAGAAAACGCTCCTTGGGATTAATGGCTGTGAACTTGAAGAAGTCGACAGTTTTAAATACCGCGGGGCGGGGCTACCGCCCAATCACAGAAAAAGGGCGACACTGTCTTGCGAATCAGTGCTGCTCACAAGGTTTTCACAGTCCTTAGAAAATGCCTATGGGCCCTACGCGACATCTCCCTCGCTACAAAGACCCGTGTTTACCGTGCATCCGGCTGGTCAGTCCTCATCTACGGTCGTGAACGCTGGGCTTTTAGGGTGGAAGGTTGGCGAAAACCGGGTGTTTGCCCACCGCGACCTCTTCATTAATTGGCTAGGTTTTGAGGCATCAGGGGGTTTTTGACGTCTGACCCCACGTTGACTATCATGAGACTCCACACTGCCTTAATTAATTCAGGCCCGTTATAAATGCAATCTAACATAATTAATTTTTAATCTATAACTACCCCACAGCATCTTTCATATATTATGCATGCATGTTGCTTGTGTCCTCACAATGTGTCAGGAATGAGATGCGCTAGAACAACGCTGAGGCCATATTGGGGCACGAAACGCGGTAATCCGGTTGTGTAGAGTCCGCGCATCCCACAACAAACGCCACACCTGAGGGGGAGCGTGTGGTGGCATGTCTATGCGCTTCACTGCGCGCCAGCCACCTGCACCCAATCGCAACATAAGATGGGTGACCGGTTCGGATAGCGAACTGATGCATGGGTGAGCGAAGAGAGAGCGAGGTCGACACTGCGGCATCCATTCACACGACACTTCAGCGCATTCCTCGCGACAATCAGTCCGACACGCTGGAATCAATCAGGACGCGCTGAAAGTTGTGGCTTGGAAATAACAGGGTGACCCGGTTTTCTCAGGACAGAGAGTCTGACTGAATGACTCCTTCTAAATGTGACCTCTGAGACTCACAGTCAGGTGGGATCCAAGCTGCCCCCTTGTTTCTGTGAGAACCAGATGCACTGTTCGCGGACGATGTCATGTGCGCACCCACGACGGGCCACGCAGTAGATGTGCTGGACCAAGTTGGAGACCAGATCACGGCACAGCAAGCGTTTTTAGGAATGTGCGCCCATGACAAAGGCCACACGTGGGGGTGTGATGACGGACCGGAGTACAGGGTCACGCCGCGCCAGCCACCTGCGTTCGATCTCGCCTCCGGTTTTCTCGATTTCGCCACGGCACCGGCCTCAGGAGGGTGATTGAGGGGGGAGTGTGGTAGATGCGGCGCAAGTTCACTATTAATTCATGCACAAGTTGCTGTCCGTGCTCCCACCATGCTATGGGAAAGGGTGGATCTCGTTCGAATCAACGGTCGAACTGTCGTGTGATACGCGTAAACGGACCATTTAGCTTTGTCGGCCATCGCTCTCAAACCCACCTCTGGACATCCTGATTTGTTCTTGCTGCCGGATCCAGGAGGGTGAGGGAGGAGAATGCGGTCAACACTGGACAAACTGTACCTACGGCAAATCAGCTTTTTCCTCGCTATAGTAAATCCGACGCGCCTAGACCCATCACGAGGCGCCACGAGTCTCGACCTGGGAGGCTGCCATTTGACGCTGTAACTAGGTCCTTCTAAGGGCTGAGTAAAGCTGCACTGTCTCCTTCTTAATGTGGCTTTCATGTCTTTCACGCACACGAAGTCCGAGCGGCCCCCTCGCGAAAACCTGGTACGTACTGTGACGACCAAGCATGCGTAGAAGGGCTGCTTGACTTTGTCGGCCACTGCGCCCGAGCCCACCTACGGGCGTCATGACATTGTCATACCATCGAGACCGAGTGGGTGAGGGAGGAGCGGGTGCGGTGGGTGTTACGAAATTCTGTCTCACTAAAACCAACTCACCCATATTTGCTAATTTTTTGGGCTATGTATTTTTGATCTGATTCTCTTTTTTTAGGACACTTTCTAACTCTGTGTGCGACATCCTCAGGCTATGGCGCTCTCGTTTGATGACCGACTCTTGGGTGAAAAAGTGGACAATTACTGTAG